CAAGTGCTGACCATGAACTGGATTCTGAGATGATTTGGATACAACGTTTCAAGGACGAAAATTCTAACAGCAGAGAGCAGAAGGATTTAGGATTCTGCTTTTCTGTCAGCAAGATCCTCTAATAAGCTCTCCACACCGGACTGTAGACTGTGGACATTAATGGCATAAATGCCTACAAAGACATGACAATGCGCAGCTCTGTGAAGCTTAAAACAAACAAAACACACGTTCAGTTTAAGACGCCAAAGTGGCCACTCCCTACTGAGCCTCTTCTCAAGGCTTGTCAGCTGCACTGTTTTTCCTGCCGTGACAGATTGGATTTAATTGAAAAGTTGCTAGTTTAGAGCTGTTACCGAAAACTGTTGGAGAGAAATAAAGCCAGCATGGTGACTGTCCCTCAGTCTATTTTTGCATAGTTCCTTTACCCTGGTCATCATTTTGTAAGAAACTAGTTAGTGTATTTCCCAAAGCCTTAAAAAAAGTACATTAAAAGGGGGGAGGACACTCTTCTCCATGGAAAGGTTCAATGTCTCAGAGACTATTTATATTTTCTCTTTATTTTGTGTCACTAATGAATTTGATGTCTCCCATTTACTGCATTGGTTTGTTGTTATTATTAGCTCTGATAGCTTAACCATCGTTATTTTTATTCTAAAATTTAGCAATATGTTTTTCTTGGTTAGTTTTTATTGTCAACTCAATCTACATTCACCTGGGAAGAGATGCCTTAACTGAGGAGTTGTCTAGAGCAGATTGGTCAATGGGCATGCACATCTGTGGTCAAGTGTCTTGATGGCTGACTGATGTAGGAGGGCCCACCCACAGTGGGCAGTACCATCCCTGGAAAGGTAGTCCTGGGCTGTATAAGAATGAGAAAGCTTGCTAAGCATGAGCCTTGACAACATGAGAGCCAGCAAGCACAGGCGTCTGAATGACTGGGCAAACACATGCTATGGTGTATGTATGGATGTAGGAGGACACGTTTCGGGAGTTCCTTTCCACCTTGTTTTGAGGCAAGGCCTCCCATGCTGTTTTTTCAAGGGCTATAGCACATGGGCTTCCATGTGCTTCTTGTGTCTCAAACTCCCATCTCACCAAATTACAGATGTGTGCAACGGAATCTGGCTTTATTTTATCCTTAAATAATTGTTCTCAAGATTTTCATGTAATTGCGTCATTTCCCTCTTCCTTTACCTCCTTGCAAACCCTCACATATGCCCCCTCCCATGCCTTGCTCTCTTTTAAGTTCATGGTCTCTTTTGTTTCAACTGTTATAAGGTGTGTGTGTGTGTGTGTTATGAGAAACATAAATATAATCTGCTCAGATCATATCGTATTACTTGTAAATATGTTCTCTAAGCTGACCATTTGGCACTGGATAACCATTTGGTGTACTCTTCCCTGGGTAAGATTATTCTTCCTGGTTTCAGGAGTCCTTAGTTGCCTGTAGTTCTTTGTCTGTAGGTGAGACCTTGTGAGCATTCCCTCTTCCTCGTTATGTGACATCTTTGTTTGGCTCGTGTGTAGGCGGCTCTGTTGGTGAGATTTCATGGGTATAGCTGTTGACGCTCCTAGGAGACACACTCTCACAGCAAACTCCCTGTTTTCCTGGCTCTGACAATCTTCCGATCCCCTCTTCCCAAACAACCCCTAAGCCTTATGTGCAAGATTTGTGTTATAGATATATTGGCTGGGATTGAACTCTACAACTCTGCGTTTTTATTGCTTGTGGTTTTCTGTGACAGTCTCTATGTGTTGCAGAGAGAAATGGAGGGGCGTGTGTCCGAGGCAGCTGGTAAGCCTGTATTTGACATTGGAATTTCCAGCATGCAGTCACACTAGAAGACAGGAAACAGTGTGCAAGAGGAACGATGACAAACTCAATTGCACACAGGTGCAGAGGACATGTTAAGTAGCTGTTGAGCTGACACATATTAGCATCAGCTCTGTAAGCATAATTATTGGTCAAGGGCAGATTGTTGTAAAACAGCTAATAAACAGGAAACATTAACTTCCTTCACACAGGGCCTTTGCAAAACCAATATTAAGCCTGTGTGCTCTGTACATGTATTTTCTCCAAAGCCAATTAACCTCTTTATTGGAAAACAAGAGCTTCGTTATTGTTGAACATGGCAGCTAATCCTTCACAAGAGATAACTTTCATTGAACAAGAGTAGAATGAGTTGTGTTTCTATCACTGACTGACATTCCCATACAATTAAAAGAAAGATTAATTGTTTAATTTCCCCAACATTGGTGTCAGTGAAGGCTAAGAGATCCATAAAACTAAAAACTATAGTTTTTCCATCCACCCAAGGCCAAGGGAGCAGAGCAGATTAAATTTTCTATGGCACATATCTTTCCATTGTCCTGATCATCTAAAGAATGGTTTGTTTATGAAATCAATTTTTATCATATTTCTTCCACAGAACTTTGAAGGTTCAGACCGGGACAGACCTAAGCCTGAATATCTATCAAATCACTGTGGCATTCCAGACCCAGACTTTTGGCTGATATCAGTGCATAGGAGATGCCAACAGAGAAGAATAGCAAAAAGAAAGTGAGCAATGAACAATTAGTAAATATGAAAGGCTGAAGGTATATTTAATAATAACAGCTTATGCATTCAAGTCAGTCCACCTGGGACTGTAAGAGTTTTGTGAGCAATAGTGAAAAGTTGTTGACGATGCTATATTTGCTTAGAAATCAACTCAGCAAGACTCTTAAGCCCCAGAGGCCAAGAATGAGCATGGATGTTATCTCTCTTTCTCTTTCTCCTTTCTCTCTCTCTCTCTCTCTCTCTCTCTCTCTCTCTCTCTCTCGTGTGTGAGTGTGTGCGCGCGCGCGCGCGCGCGCGTGTGTGTGTGTGTGTGTGTGTGTGTGTGTGTGTGGTGTAGTATTCTTTATGACTCAGCACTTGGCCTCCTTTCTTCTGTTTTCTGCAGTCTGTGGGATTCCTCCACTCCATCGTCTCCTTTCTTGCTCTCTCTCAGACTTCTTTCTTCACATATCCAAATTCGCACTGGTTTGTTCAACATTATGTCCCAGACCAGCCTCTGGAGTGAGACCATTCAACAGAACAGTGTGATATGGCTTTGATTTCAATTCTAATATGAAATTATCTAATACAAAGCAATGTGTAAAAGTGTGAGATCAACTAATTTTAAAGTTTGTCTGGTATTTGAAAGCCCATACATCCTTCACCCTTGATAGTGCATTGCATTCAGGCTAGCCACATGTGGTCAGAGACTACCTAAGACTCTGACCATCAGGTCACAAGCCTTGCACCTACACCAAGGAATTACACATTTTTCTACCAAACTTTATAAACAAGAAAACTAGACATTGTAGCCAAAAAGAGCCATCATCATCAGAAACGGTAGCATATGTTGAACATCTGCCCATTTGAAAAGTAGTTGTGGATGGAAGTTTTTAATCTCATTCTGCCTTAGTAAAAACGGACTCCTTCATCTGGGTGGCTAGGACACTATTTGGTAGTGATGGATCAGAGAGCACACAAGCTTGCTTCTCCAAGGAGCCTCCTGCACCTGAAACTCTCCAGTTACATTCTTGAGAGAAAAAAAATTAAGCATGTGGACAATTTATGCCGAGAAAGAAAACCGAAGCCATTCTCCTGTTTTGTTGGTATTTTCCATCACGGTTTCTAAAAATTACAGCTTTGGCTGTCTTTAGAATTTTACAGTCTCTGTAAAATATTTGTGATGTCTGTCCCCAATCCTCCTTTTAAATCTCTCCACTGGGAGGAGATGTGCACAGCACACCTTATTAGTCAGTAAGCCCCGTGGGATGTCCTCTCTTTCAAGTACTTTGAAAATCTCTTACCTCTGTTCTGCCATTTCTGGCTACTTTTATCAAAGGGAGGAACATAATTCCCTGTGTCAACTTTGTGATCTAGATCACAGGGCCTGCTCTAAACTGGGCTTATCAAAGACAGCCCACACTATCTGTTAGAATGCGCGTTGGGAAAACTGTGAGTGAAGTGGGGGAGCCCCCAGTTCAGGAGTATATGAAGTAGGAAAGCCTTTCTATAATTAGATCCCTTAGAGGGGATCTTCTCCACGTCTTGCAATGATTTTTTTTTCTTTTACCACAAGATTGCTTTAAGTCAGGCTCTGCATCTCCGTGCACCTAGGCGTTAGTTTATAAATCAATAGCTACTTGACATGGAAACCTGAGAGAGAGAGAGACAGGAAAATGCAAACCGGAGTGATAGGAACCGTGGCCAAATTGAGATTAATCAAAAGTGAAGAGAAGCCTTCTTTAAAGTTACAGTAAGCCAAAGGGGAATTAAGACTCGTTGAAACTTTCAGCTCTGTTCCTTTGCACCTTAAGTCATGAAGTGAAACCGGTGATGACCTACAGCCACCAGTAGCCCTCTGAAAGTCAATGTCCGGAGCATTGCCCCCTCTTGCCCTGACCCCCATGACCACCCTGCGGCAGAATCCACACATGTGCAGACACCAATTTCCAGCTACATTCCAGACAGCCTTACTGTGGTCCTGTATGGTAAATGTTAGCTAAGGAGAGAAACGGTGGGTTTCTCAGGCTGCTAGGAAAGCCAGTTTTTACCCCAAACAGCTGCGATGCCAGACTGACTTTTAACCTCCCTTGTTGAATACAGGAACTCTTGGCAGGACTGCCGCACAAGTAGCGCAGGCTCTGTGGGGTTACCATTATAGAAACAGACTTGGCCAGCAGGAAATGTTTACATCCTGCATGAAACCCTGATGTTTGACATGAAACCGGAGCTGTTCACTATGGGTTCAGAGAACAAAAGTCCCCATCTTTGAACTTTCCTCTTAGCCCAAACAAACAAACATTCCCCTTTCCTTTCCGTCAAATACCTCAACCCTGGCTACTGGCTCCGCTGAACTTTTTCATACTGTGCAAACCCAGGAAACAAACAAGCTCTGGGCTCTTTTTCCGGTAATGAAATACACACCCCTGCCACCAAGGAACGGCGCTCAGCTTGGGCTGAGCCTGGCGATACCTTAGCCATCTCCTGAGTATAGCAATTATAATTTAATAGAAACAAGCCGAGCTTCACGATACAAAAGCAAGGCAGGTTCTGCCACGGCGGAGTTTGAGAATCCAAGGAGTTGCTGCGGACGGTCATTGCGGCATTTACCAAATACACCGTGATAAAGAATGACTGTGTGGATGAGGGACATGAAAGAAAGCTGGGCCAAAGCTGAGCAAGTGGAACCCGAGGGTCCTGCAGAAAGCGGCACCGACCTCTAGCTTCTCTTGGCAAGGTTACAAGCACAGAAAATCATGGGAAGCTAATTTCCAACCTGTAACTGAAAAGATGGAAGGAGACTTACAAAGCCCCCATCCCCAATCCCCAGAAAGACAGTGAGTGAACCGATGCCTCTTCTCCCTTTACTCAACAGTTTAAAAACAGTTAAAGAGCTGGAGAGAGAGATGAGGGCACAGAGGGTCACATTCCAATGTGGCTGGCACGCGTCTTTAAAAGCATCTATTTTATCTTCCGTAGGTAAAAGGCAGGGCCCTTCAGAGACCATCCCATTTCCTTGTGACTCTTAACAAGCCTCTCTGATTAGACACTATTAGTCTGTTTCTTTCCTGGGATGACTTGCAAATGCACCTCCACTTCCTAAGTTCAGAAGGGCCAGAAAGGAATTCAGGCAGCCAGAAAGAAACTGGGTCATTATCTGGATTTTAGAAGCGTATGTGGGCAAGGGATGGTTGGAAAGCCTTTGGGTCCTGGGATGGCGGCAAAGAAAAGTGCCTTTAGTGCCGATTACTTGGATTTTAGGAACGTGTTTCATCTCTCTGAAAGTCCCTTCCCCCATAAGGGACTCACTCAGGACCTGAGAGTGTAGCAGTAAGAAGTGTCCGGGTTTCCTTAGATGCATCTGTGGTCGTTGAATACCAGAGAAGGAGACTGCTTCGTATAAAATATCGGTATTGCCGGGTGTTGGTGGCGTGCCTTTAATCCCAGCACTCGGGAGGCAGAGGCAGGCGGATTTCTGTGAGTTCGAGGCCAGCCTGTTCTACAGAGCAAGTACCAGGACAGCCTCCAAAACAATACAGAGAAACCCTGTCTCGAAACACACACACACACACACACACACACACACACACACACACACAGCACAAAACAAAAAATCGGTATTATTTCTGCTTTCTTAATTCTAATTAAATGATCATTTAAAAAAGTCATAATCATTAGTGTTGCCATACGTTTCTGCTATAACAATTGTTCACAAACTTTATAGTTTGAAACCACACAAATTAACTATATTAAGCTTCACTGGGTCAGAACTTTGACCTCAGACTCACAGGCTTAAATGAAAGTGTAGGCAGCATCACTTCCTGGAGGAGCGGGGGCCAGTGTGTGTCTTCCCTCTCTCTGTTCCCTCTCTCTGTATAGACCACCCATGTTTCCTAGGCTCTCTTTCTCCCAGCTTCAAGTCAAAGCCACGGGTTGTATTACTTGATCATAGCCAGGGACGATTTGTGATTCAAAGAACTCATGTGTTTACACTGAGGTCCCAGTCCATAATCACACTTGCCTCAGGAGGGGTCACTGTATTCACAGACTCTGAGAACAGGACATAGACATCTGTGGGAATGACTACCACACTGTCCAGAGAGGTAGAATTTTATAAAAGCTGTTTGTCACAAGAACACACTTTAGCAACTTTGACTCGAGTTTTAGAATGCCCATGGACATTTCTAGAGCTGACCTCAGTCCTCCACATAATTCTCTTATGTCAAAGGTGGTAATCTGAAAGAATATTGATTAAGTAATTGGCATTGCAAATGTCACTGGCTTTTAAATCAGGTTATGTTCAGGATATTTTGATGAAACTATTTAAAGTTAATAGGATATATTAGGCCATAATTGTTGATTACCCTAACAGCTAACTTCAAAAAATCAGATAATTCAAAAACAGTAAGAAAAAACTATGCATAACTAAAATGTTGTCAAGTATGTTTTTGGTTACCTTTCTTAACATATTTAAACAGGTTGGTTACTCTGTTTTTGCATCAAATTATGCCACCCAATTGCATTCAGTACACCCTAGGATGCTGCTGTAACATATTCTAGGCTCCAATCTTTCCTAATTGTTTTCTCCTGGGATTCTCCAAAATTTGGTGATAACGTGCTGTTACCTATTTATTCATATACCTTTATATAAACGCCATATTCTGATAAAGCACAATTTACATATCCAGGCCCAATGTCTTCAAAATTTTCATAGGTCAACTCATTACCAATGTTTCATGAATAAATAAAACCTGGTCCTTCAGAAATCTTTCTCATTCACATTTTCTTAGATACTATTCTATTGCTATGAAGAGACACTATGAACAAGGCAACTATTACAAAAGAAAATTTAATTAGGGGCTTGAGGGGCTTGGTTAGTTTGGAAGTTTAGTCCATCACTATCATGGTGGAAAACATGGTGGCATGCAGAGACAGACAGAGAGAGACAGAGAGAGAGAGAGAGAGAGAGAGAGAGAGAGAGAGAGAGAGAGAGAGAGAGAGAGAGAGAGAGAGATCCTGGTGTTGGCCTTTGAAACCCCAGTGACACACTACCTCCTTCTCACCCTTCCAAATAATGGCACTCCTTGGTGACTAAGCATTTAAATCTATGAGCCTATTGGACCATTCTTAGTCAAACCACCGCATGAATTAATGGCAATTGCCCTCTTTCTATTGCCCCCTAACCGAAGTCCCCATTCCATAGTACTCTTCTGTCTCACACTCACCATGCAGAACCCACGATAGCTTCATCTCTCATGTCCATGAGACCTCTTCTCTCTCTCACTGCCATGCTCACTACTCCCCTGACCCTGTCACCGCCACCACCATTGTCACCATCACCTCTCACCTTGATTATTGCAATGGTTCCTAAATGGGCTTCTTGATTCCATTTTTTTTTGCTTTCTCCTCTGTGGTTTCCTTGTGCTTATAAAATAAAGTAAATTTCATGTTATAGGTACAAAGCCTACCCCCATGAATCAGTGGTATAACACTTTCCCAAAGAAAAGCAAAATATTTACTGACACAGTAAATGCCTCTATAAATATACTTACTGAGTATGTTGTCTTAAAATATATTTGCTATTAGTATGAGAATGGTGTGTGTGTGTGTGTGTGTGTGTGTGTGTGTGTGTGTGCTATCTTAAGTGGATTTGTGGTCTATAAAGAAGCATTTTTGGTAGTAAGTATTTTCAAAGATATATTTCTAGCAATGCCAATGAAATGCCATGAGAGACTAAAGAAAGGAAAGGGAAATGTTTAATGTGGAATCATTGCATTGGTTATGCTAGTGTATGCCCTAAAGATAACAACATTGAATGCAATTGGGAAACTATTTTTATCAAAAGTGTTTGATAAGCAATATAACTTGGATGAAGAAAATACTAGGAACAAATATATTTTCAGAAAATAGTGAGACTTGTCCCCAAAATGATAAGTGGGTAAGAATTAATGCACTATGTACAAAAGTATGTCTACATGGATTAGAAATAACAAATTGGAAAGTTATTTTAAAGATGAAGTTAGGTCCTAAATTCCTAGCTTAGGGAACTGAATGTATGATGGTATTCATAATTAAAATACTGAGTAGGATGTGTTTGACAAGCATAGGAGAATCTTGAAACACAATGTGGAAAAGAACAGCTATAATATTCATTTGAAGATATTCAGTAAATAATTAAAAATGTGAATCTATATGTCTTTGTACACTAGATCCCCATGGAATGTTTATCTAGTCATGGCAATGAATAACTATTGAGTGAATGAATAAATGAATGAATGAATTTAGCCTGCATTGCAGTAAATTTTACAGGATTCAATTTGTCAGGGTCAGAGCTATTCAGTCAATATCACACCCTCTACTTGCTGAATGGATTACAAATAATTTGCTGCGAGCATAGTTTTAAAATCTCACCAATTGTTTTGTTGAAAAGGGTAGATTGAGTCATGGCATTCTCACTTATGTTCCAACTTGATTTTCTGAATGAAAGATAAATAGGAGACTGAAGTGGTATTTCCAAGAAACACAAGAGATCCTGATTGCAGACAGTTCTGGTGATGTCTTCAAGTATGAGGTTTACCCTGTAGTAATGTGGTACAGAGAAAATAAGAGAAGGGTTGAGTATCCAGTGATTTGGCAGAGGAAGCTTGCAGGTGAAAGGAAGTTATCCCAGGTCATGGAGCTGATGGGAGCACAGCTTGGGATGCTCTTGGCTGGGACGATGACACTCACTGTCCTAGTAGATCAAGGAGGAACGCTTTGAGAGATGCTGTCAACACATGGACAGATGAGGTCACATTACTGTCACTTAAGGAATGATCACATTGGGAAATAAGCCTCTCTTTCACCTAAAAGAAAGAAAATCACTTCTGTTTCATGAGTCAGTGTGCTTAGCACGGATCAAAAGACATAGAAATAAAAACAACTATTTAATAAGGCTGGGAATCCTGAAACATCTACTGGTCAAGGCTTTTCAGACCAGCCTCCAAAGAGTGAGACTGCTGACACCTCAACCACATGTGAAGTGCATACAATACAAGTAAGGTATATGCCTTTGTCACTCGAGGTCATGCTGACCTTCTTGATGACGGACACAAACACTCCCTTGTAAGTTAGTCATCACTTTCTTTGAAATTGGCAACTGTTTCAGCTTGAAGTTTTGTTCAGAACAGGCATAAGGAAAGCTGTGGAAATGCTGTATTTGTTTATGTAAGGTCAGACTAACCCAGAGGTCTTTAAGTACTCCAAAATGGGAAAAGTTTACATGAGCCCATCACTGTGTGATGATGGTGAAAAAGATAAGTCTTTCTCTGCCACCCTATACAAGGTCACACTACACCTAAGGCTAAGTGCACTCTACTGAAATAGTAACCACACAGAGGAATGGAAGATAGACTTGAAACACAGACATGTCTGGAAAGTTATAAAATATTTTCCAGAATATACGAGAAACAAATTTCTCCGTGGAGAGGTGTGTCAAGAGAATATGACTTGAAGGAATCATAAAAGAGAGCCCTCAGTTCTAAAGTTTAGTGTCTCACTGACTCAGGTCTAAACAGTCAGCATCTGTCTGGGTGTAGAACAGACCACTGGTCTGAAAATTAACAATTAATTTTATATTAAGTTGGCAGACTAGGAACGACACAGTCAATAGTGCTAGCAAACAGCATGATTTATATATTACTTTTAATTAAACATGAATTCTTTAAAGTTATTTAAAAATGAACGCACTGAATTTGGTTCCCTCATCATACATATTTTAGTAGGGTGATAGTGGGTGCATTTTTATAATTTTGTTAAAGATAGTGTTCACTGGTCCCACCTTCCTAAATACCAATAGATGGATCGAAATAATAACCACAGAAATAAATGACACAAAGAAGATTTTCAACTGCTGATAATTAAACTGAGATAAATTTGATATTTTAAGTCACATTTTAAAAAAAGAACAATGCATTATTTAGAAGCAAACATTCTCTTCTTTTTCCGCCTCAGTATTAAATGTTTGTCAGCTTTTTAATAGAAACTTAAGTTAAAAACTTATGACTAAGTGAAATTCAGAAGGGGACAGAATATATCTATAGATCAAGCTTGCATTAAAGGTATTCAGCAGGAAGGCTCACTTTTTTTTCTCCTCAGAGTGGTACTTTCTTCCCTTTAGTGGAGGTCAGTTTGGGAATATTTAGAAAAATGGCAGATGATTAACTTCAAATTGAGCAATTCAATAAAATTGAGATACATTATCTTAAAGCATTGATTTCCTGAAAAGGACGGTACAAAAGATTATGTGGTAAAGAAAGCATGAATGAGGACACAAATACTGGAGGAATTTACTTCTGCAAACGTATTGATAAACCGCAAAGTTGAACAAGGTGGAATTACACTATAAATATTTAACTTTAGGAATGTGTGAGTAATAATAGATCTCTAAATCTAAGTTGCGTTCTGTGAATTATCTCATGCATATTTTATTTAAGAAGTAGTAATAGAATACTTATTAATTTCCAGGCACTGTGCTAGGAGACAGCAAGGAAAAGATGTACATAGTTTCCAGTCACCTGGAGCTTACAGGCCAGTGAGGACGATAGATAACCACGAAATGACAGCCACTTGTGTGCAATTACAGCCAACACCCAAAGGCTTCCTAAGAAAAGAAAATGGGTTTATCTCGATAGATCCTGGCTTTCCGAGAGAATTCAGACACTGTACAAACTTCCATGTTTAGTCAGAGTTGAAATTACTCTGCTTAAAGTGACTTTCAAATAACAGATGTTGAATAAATGGGAATAAAATCACTGTCAGCAGCCACAGGCAGCATGATTAACCTGAACGTTTTAAAAAAGAAAAGTTGGAGAACAGAAAGCAAGGGGTTAAATGGCAAGAAAGTAGACAAGGGACTTGAGGGTTTAGATTGTATTAAAGACCAAGAGCTTTTGTGGGATTTAAATGGAATGAAATGATCATTTTTCCTTTCATAGGAGCTTTCTCCCACTATAACAAAGAAGATCCCTTAAAGGAAGAGCATGGGCATAGGCAGGAGAGGTAGGAAAATTTTCCCTTGTGTTAGAAAACTACAGTTACATGTTAGGTTGGATGGGAAAAGTGATGGCCATTTAGACAGCACAGAGTTTCAAAAAACAATTAGAAAAGAACATATTATTCTTTGTCAAATTAATATATGCTACTTAGAATTTTAAGAAAGTGTAAGTATCATTTATACTGATTTGTTTGTGTGTCTGGGACAGCTTGAACTATGGAATTGAACTGTTGGCAAGATAGGAAGAAGCTGACAGAACTGATGGTAAATTAGAAAGCTGATGTTGCAAGACAGCAAGACAAAGGCAAAGTGAGCTTGCTAAAATCAGAAGCTAAGTCACCCCACAGGAACTGCCCAGGGACGCCGGTTCCTAGGATAGTCACTGGAGATGGTTACCAAGTGTCTCTTTTGTCTCTGTTTCTCAACAGCCAAAAACCGTAGCTGGAAAACTGTGTTTCCCAATTCACAGACCCGGGATAATAGCTATGGATGCAAGTAGAAGGAATATTTATTTATCTTCAGCCTTCAACATGGATGCGGTCTCCTCCTCTAATGAGGACTTTCCCACATTGCACTTTCTGGAATTCATAGGACAACGTGGAACAGTCATTCTTTTTGTCCACCATGTGAGTCCCTAGAATCGAAAGATAGACTCTACAAGCAGACAACTTTACCCACCACTGTTGTGGAATAATCTTTTTGTATACTCTAAGATTTGTCTCTCAGATTGGTTTAATAAAAAACTGAATGGCCAATGGCAAGGAAGTATTTGGGGGGCAGAAAGGACTCTGGGAAGAGGAAGGTCAGAGTCATGAGGAGACTCTAGGGATGCAGAGCAAGCAATGTGGGTTTTACAAAGTAAAGGTAATGGAGCCATGTAAAGGAACCTAGATTAAAAGACATGGGTTAATTTAAGTTGTAAGAACGTGTTAGAAACAAGCCTAAGCTATTGGCTAAGCTTTCATAAATAAGAAGTCTCTGTGTGCTTATTTTGGAGCTGCTTTGAGGGACAGAAAAATCTGCCTATATACCATGCCATCTCTCCCACCCTGTTACAACATGTATTAAGGAATTAGGTTAAATAAATGAGCCAGAAGAAGAAAGGCAAATGTTGTATAGCACCACCCAGAAGTGTGTCTAATTAAGTTGATTTAACAGAAGAGAAACAAACATAAAATGGTGATGAGCAGAGACTAGGAAGGATAGGAGAGTGGAGCTCTCTTATTTGACTGCTACTAAATTCTGGTTACACAGTAAAAATCAGATCTGTTGCTAAGTAAAGACCATAGGACAATATGAGGCATACATCTCAAAACGACTACAAAAGAAGGATTTTCAATGTTTTTATGATAATAAAATAATAAATGTTTGAGGACATAGTACAATTATCCTAACTTGAATATTACATAATATATGCACACGTTTGATAACTTTGTAGGAAAGTTAATGTATCAATTAGATAAATTGAAATAGTTGTAACTCATATAGCATTGTTCAAAAGTCATCCAAGTGGTATTAATTTTGTTTTTGCCAGATATTTCAATGTCTATGAATAAGTATTCCACAAATTGTTTTAGATCCTTACTGCCATATTCCCAAGTGCCAGAAAGTGACCAGTTAAGCCCATATCTTGGGCATGCAATTACTCTGTTAACAGGTCCATGGCTAAAATACATCAATGTAATAAGCAACAACAGCTACAGAATTTCTTGCTTTAACCTGTGGTAGCTCTGAGATATATTCTGCCTTAGGTTATTCCAATTTTGCCAATATATATGTGCCTCAATTGACAGAATGTTTTATAGTCATATTTTCTTTTGCAGATTGCTATAATGTCTGTTGTGATACTTGGAATGAGAAATATCCCTTCTAGGCTCTTGCGTCAAAACCTAAGTCCCCATTGGTGCCAATATGCTAGGAGGTTCTAGAACATTTAGGAGGTAGGATCTAATTGAAGAAATATCACCGTGGGGGCATGCCTTTGGTTGTACCTTATTGTATGAAGATACTCCATGAGGTGAAGGAACTTCTACCATATATTGCACCATCATGAAACCACGGACTAAAATTTCTATAACAACAAGCCAAAATATCTCTTTCCACTTTTCAATTGTTCTAACAGGGTTTTCCTCACTGCAAACAGAGAATGCATCTTTCTGCATGACAGTGGTTATGTACTTACGATTCATGACCTCTTTGGTGGTCAACATGACCCTATCAAAGGGGTCATATATCAGATACCATCACTGCCATCATCATCTTCATCATCATCATCATCATCACCATCATCATCTTGGACAATCCACACACAACCCTTGTCCTGTGCTGAGCATGTTCTAATGAGTAAGAGATCAATTAAAAGATTAAATTAATGCAATTGAATCTTCACATTGGTTTAATAAACTAAAGTACATATCTAAATTTTTAAATATTTGATTCTGGACATGAAAGTGCCTTTGGGTTAGGGTTTGATCTCAATTTTATTTGCCTCTACACTTTGCTTTGACATATTCAGCTATTGCTAAATAAGAGAGTCTGCTATTAGCTAAAGCAAGCAAAGTTCAATTATTATTACTAATGGGCCATTTATCTTTCTCATCTTAATAATTTAAAACCTTGTTCCTAAATGAATACTTTTGCAATGTCTCACTACTTCAACATAATGAATCTGTTTCTTAACCAAATGAGGGGAAATAAAATGAGTCTTCTCACTCCCTCAGTAGTACTGGGGGGGTATTACAAACCCAGCTCATTATCAACACTGGCCTGTAACCACTTAGAAAACAAATGTGGGAAGATGTGGACCAATAGGGGTGGTTGTACTCTGAACTCCCTGGGTACAACAGGCTTGTGTGTATCTCTGCTCACACACTAAGTTGCCTCCCTCCAACCTTTTCCTTTTTCCTCTGCTACTCCTTCCCAACGCCTCCAGTGCTGGCCACAAAAGATTTTCTCTCCTCATCTGACTGACAACACTGTGTGCTTTGCTTTCAAAATGAAGAAACGGATCGTACATGTGCCGTGTTCCCCTCTGCAGAATATTCTTTCGTGGAATGGCCTCCACTAAAAGCCCTGTGAGTAAGACTACAGGGTGCCTCTTGGTTATAACTTTCCCCCTAACCTCGGCAAGCTTTTGTGGGTATTGGTACAGATGACAGATACGTGGTAGATATTGATAGTTTTTACAAACTTTCAGTGACAATGGTTGAGCTGGCTTTTAATTGCTATTGAAATACTGTCTTCTGGACATGACATGGATGCTGCACTCACGAACTCACAATAGTGACGTTACCTGCACAAGGTCAAGCTGACACTGTGAGTTAATAGCCCAACAGGCAGCTGGCCCTGATTGCCCTGGGTGAGTTTCATTTTCTCTCAGATGTATACTCAGTAGTGAAGTTATAGGGTCTTACCCCAATTCTCTTCCTTTCCTCTCATTAAGAAATTCTAGTCTCCATACTGATTTTCCTGAGGAGCGTACATATTGATTTCCAAAGTGTCTGTACAAGTTTGCACTCCCACCAGCAATGGAGGAGTGTTCCTCTTACTCCTCATCCTCTCCGGTATAAACTTTCATTGGTATTTTTTATTTTAGCCATTCTGACAGGAGGAAGATGGTGTCTAAGAGTTGTTTTGATTTGCATTTACCTGATGACTAAGGATGTTGAACACTTTCTTAAGTGTCATTCAGCCATTTTAGATTCCTCTCTTGAGAATTCTATATTTACTTCTGTACCCTACCTTTTAATTGGATTATTTAGTGTTTTGGTGACTAGCTTCTTGAATTCTTTGCATATTTTGGAAATCAGCCCTCTATCAAATGTGGAGTTGGTGAATATCTTTTCCCAATCTGTGGTCTGCCGTTTTGCCTTGTTGACTATGTGTTTTGCCTTACAGAAGCTTCTCAGTATCAGGAGGTCCAATTAATAATTGGCGATCTCAGTGTCTATGCTACTAGTGTATGTTCAGGAAGCGGTCTCCTGTACCAACTCGATCAAGGGAACCTCCCACTTTCTCTTTTAAGAGGTTCAGTGTGGTTGGATTTATGTTGAGATCTTTGATCCATTTGGACTTAAGTTTTGTGCATGGCAGTAAATACGGGTCTATCTGCAGTCTTCTACATGCCAGCATCCAATTAGGCCAGCACCATTTGTTGAAGATGCTTTCTTTTTTTCATTGTATAATTTTAGCTTCTTTGTCAAAAATCAGGTGTTAGTATCAGGGTTTTCAATTCAATTCCATTGGTCTACCTGTCTATCTTTGTGCCAATACCAAGCTATTTTCAGGACTATAGCTCCATAATAGAGCTTGAAGTCAAGGATAGTGATGCCTATGAAAGTTCCTTTATTGTATAGGGTTGTTTTGCCTGTCGTGGGACTCTTGTTTTTCCATATAAAGTTGGAAATTCCTCGGGAAAATGGGAATCAGTCTACCACAAGATCCAGCAATTCCACTCTTAGGCATATACCCAAAAGATGCACATTCATACAACAAGGACATCTGTTCAACTATGTTCATAGCAGCATTGTTTGTAATAGCTAGACCTTGGAAGCAACCTAGATGCCCCTCAACTAAAGAGTGGATAGAGAAAATGTGGTACATTTATACAATGGAGTACTACTCAGTGGAAAAACACAGGCAAATGGATGGAACTAGAAGAAATCATCCCGAGTGTGGTAACCCAGTCACAAAAGATAAACATGGAAACATGGTATGTACTCACTGATTTATGAGTTCTAGACATAGAGCAAAGGGTTGCCAGCCTACAATCAACACCACCAGAGAAGCTAGGAAGCAAGAAGGGCCCTAATAGAGACATACATGGTCCCCCGGAGAAGGGAAGAGGGACATTTCCTGAGCAATTGGGAGCATGGGGGGAGAGGACATGGAGCTAGGAGGAAGAGAAGGGGAGAAGAGGAGGGAAGAGGAGGATATGAGGGAGCAGGAAGACTGAATCAGGGTAAAAATAGAGGAGAGCAAGAAAAGAGATACCATAATAGAGGGAGCCATTAAAGAGAAATGTAGCCCTAGGGAAATGTCCAGAGATTTACAAGGATGACACCAACTAAGAATCTAAGTGATAGTGGAGAGGCTACCTTAAATGTCCTTCCCATGTAATGAGAATGATGACCACCTTATATGCCATCCTAGAACCTTCAGGCAGTAGCTGGTGGATGCAGAAGCAGACACCCATAGCTAAAGACTGAGCTGAAATCCTGGAATCCAGCAACAGAGAGGGAGGAGTGATGAGCAAAGGGATCAAGACCAGGCTGGTGAAACCCACACAAACAGCTGACCTGAACAAGGAGGAACTCGTGGACCCCAGACTGATAGCTGGGAAACCAGCAGAGGACTGATCCAGACTCCCTGAAGGTGGATGTCAGTGAGGAGGCAATCTATGGGGCCTCTGGTAGCAGATCAGTATTTATCCCTAGCAAAAGAAATTGACTTTGGAAGCCCATTCCCCACAGAGGGAGGGGTATTCTCTCAACCTAGACACACAAGGGAGGGTCTAGGCCCTGCTCCAAATATGACAGACTTTGAAGATCTCCCATGGAAGGCCTCACTCTCCCTGTGGAGCAAAAAGGGGAGGGAATAGAAGGTTAGTGGGGGCAGGGGAGGAGAAGAGGGAGAGGGAACTGGGATTGACATGTAAAACAAGCTTGTTTATAATTTAAGTTAAAAAATAGAAAAAAAAGAAATTCTAATCTCTATTTCTACCAACAGCATTAAAGTATTTCCTTTCTTTCTTATGTCTCACAATCTTCTCTCTTTTTGACAACAAACACCCTAATAGTTTGGAGATGATTTGATTCGATGACTTTAATTTCTGCTTCTTCAATGACTGCTGATAAAACTTTTTCATATATTTGTTGATCATTTTTCATGTGATCCTTTTCTTTCTTTTTTTACGAAATTTAAATTATAAACAAGCTTGCTTCACATGTCAATCCCAGCTCCCTCTCCCTTCCCTCCTCTCCTGCCCTCCCCACCAGACCCCCCAGTTCCCCACCAAATCTCCACTCTGATCCCCAGGGAGGGTGGGGCCCTCCATGGAGGATCTCCAGTGACTGTCATTTCACCCAGGGCAGGGCCTAGTCATTTGATCTTTTGAGAAAATTCATTCAGTTCTTTGTTTGTTTGCTGTTCTTGGTTGATCTTTTGCAATTCTTCTGCTGTGTTTGGGGGTAGTAAGCCCATATCCTAGTTATCCTTGGCAAGCAATGAATTGTTTCTGCAGTTCATCTTTTTCACTGTGTAGACTTTTTTTTAAATTTTTGTTACCTTACTTTTGGAGTCATATTCAAATAATCAGTGCCAGACGATATGGGCTTTTTTTGTTTTATTCTAGTACTTTCAAATTTCTGGGTTTCATTAAGCTTTTGATCCATTCTGTAAACACTGTAAATAAAAGACCTAATTTCATTCTTCTGCACGTGTATCCACACATTTTCTAATATCATTTGTTAAGAATTTAAACCTTGGAAAATATATGGAGGAAAAGGAGCCTTTCTATGCTTTCATTGGGAATGTAAGGAGGCACAGTTTCTATGGAAAATGGTATCGAAATTACACAAAAAATTAGAAGTTGGACTAATTTATCATCCAGAAATCTTGGGTATCTGTCCAAAGGCAATGGAGGTAGTAGCAAAATACATATCTACACTTACATGATTATGCCAATATTATTCTCAGCTGAGCTATCAAAACAAATAAGTGCCCATTAACATGATGTGAACGTGACCTAGGAAAGTTCATGAGTTGGAGGCCTAACCTTCAATGTGGCAGTGTTAGGAAATAAGACCTAATAGAGAGCATTTTAGGTCATGGTAACACTACCCTTGAAAACTGATTGATGTAATTTCCATGAGAGTGAATCAGTTATCACAATAGCAAGCTATTCATGCAGACCCTTTCTCTGTTCCCATTTCACGAGCACTTGCCTGACCCTTTGATCTTTCATCATTTTATCGGGCAATGCAATTACTCCCGAAAAGCCAGCAAGATGGCAATATTATCCTTTTGGACTTTGGAGCCTCCAGAACACCAAGCCAAAATAAATTACCTTTTCTATATAAATTATTCAGGTTCAGGTGTTCATTATTTGCTTTTAATTTTAATTATGTGCATATATGTGTGTAGAAGAATGTGTGTGTATATGATGTGTATATGTATACATATATGTATATGTGCAGGAGTAAAAACATGAGGTTGGATTTACAAGTACTTGCATGCGAACTGATATGCTGGGAGCTGGACTTGTACCCTCTACAAGAGCAGTTTATCCTTCTACCTTCTGAGTCTTTTCTCTAGTCTCCTTCTCCCTTAAGTTTCAAGTATTCAATTACACAAACATATAATGCACTAAGACATCAATTGAGGAATGAATGCATAGCCCAAACGTGATATGCATACATGCA